TAGGCGATTCTCTTGCCTCAGCTTCCTGAGTAGCTGGGACTACAGGCACCCGCCATAACGCCTGGCTATTTTTTGTTGCCGTTTGGCCAGGATTGGGTCAGAACCCACCACCCTCAGTATATGGGGCCAGCACCCTACCTACTGAGCCACAGGCGCCACCCTGGTGTAGGATTTCTGGTAGCAGTGCAGTACAGTGGGTGTCTGTGCATTTTAATCCTTCTGGTCTTGGTAATGTGGCTGTCTCTTTACCTATCCAGGAATGTTATTCATGGCAGCGATTCTGTGGAGAGTGCAGAGAAGGAGATCCGTTTATGGTTTCGCCCTGAGGAACTGGTGGATTACAAGAGCTGCACTAAGGACTGGATCTATGAATGACAGGAGGGTGTACCACAATGCTTCTTTCATCCATGTCCCCTCATTCCCACGGGCACAGGACCAGGCTGTTGCAAACCCAGTTATTTATGGACACTTCCTTATAACTTGGAAGGAAATTCTTGGAGCTGTGAGTGCTCCATGTATAGTGTTATGTGCTACCATCAGATTAAAATGTTTCATCATCCCAATGTGTGATTTGTTCAGTTGCTTAGTATGTATTGCTGTATTGCTTTGTGTTTTTTCCTCTTCATGTATTCAGGATAACCTGAGCTAATAGAGAGTATACATACCATATAAATTACAAGTGGTTTCCTGGTTACAGATGAAATAATGGAACGTCTTTAGTTTAGATTTATATGTAACTTGGATTCCTGATGAACAGCGCATATATGGTAATAATAAGCAATACTATAATGGCTTAAAAATAATACATTCTAATGCTGTGATAGTAATAAAAATAATGTCCCTGTACTGTAATAAGTTATGGAAACTATTGTGCTCTTTTAATTCAGTCAATCGGAACATAAACTCATATAAAAAATTTAGATAGGAGATAGAAGACATTTTGAAAAAGAACATTAAAGGTTAATACTCAGCCAATGTTGCATCAATGTCTTGCTTACTGGAAGGGGCATTTTTGAGGCAAGAAGGTATGCTGACAGGGCGGCGCCTGTGGCTCAAAGGGGTAGGCGCCAGCCCCATATGGTGGAGGTGGCGGGTTCAAACCAGCCATGGCCAAAAAATGAAAAAAAAAAAAAAGAAGGTATGCTGACATTAATCAGGAGATGATGATGGAGAGGGTGCTGGAGAGGGTAGAGGGAGTGGTGGAGAATCAGGATCTGATTCTGTTGCTGACAGAGGGGAGCTTACTGCTGAAGTTAGGTTTTTGAAAAAGGTACCTAGGGTGGTTTGCACAGCCTTTTTCTTTTTAATCATAAATGGCCTTATCATAACTCATGTTCTAGCCACCCAGTAAACCTTTGTAAACCGCTCAATACTGCTTCAATGAAATGAAAGTCTTCAGGTCATTATTTGTCTTAAACTTGATCGGCTCTGGATCTACCGATCATTCCTGTCTTGTGTTTCCATTAGCTGCTTCTTTTATCTAGGAAAGGAACCTCTAGAGTGAAAACGCTGTGCCAATGAACTGCCTATGCCATGTAGGTTTGTTTGCATGTGTGAAAGAAACTAGTTCCCAAATTATTAAATCAATTATTTAATTATAAATTATCTTTATGTGCAGCCTTGGCAGCCCATTCTTAGTATGGAATGCTGGAAGTTGGGAGACCCATAACCTAGGGTCTGCATTTCCGCTGGCCTGAGAGATCTTGCATATGCACATTCTCTGCCTACTTCTCTCCTTGTCCCCTGCATCCTATCCACTCTTGGTCCTGAGCCAGTCAATAAGCATCGATGGGGCAGCGCCTGTGGCTCAAAGGATTAAGGTGCTGAACCCATATGCCAGAGGTGGTGGGTTCAAACCCAGCCCCGGCCAAAAAAAAAAAAGCATCGATGGAGCATCTGCTAGAGGGCCAAGACTACTGGACACAGAGGATTCATCAGAAATAAGAGATACCTATCCTGTTCTTGAGAAATTCTTAGGGAATCAGTGAATAGGGAGGGGGAGAAGTTCTAACTCCTCTAAAAACCAGAAGAGCTATGTGGACAGTAGCCCTGGGTCCCTGGGGTGGCCTCAGACAAAGTGGGAGAAATCTTGTAAGTAGCTTTGTTGTTAGGATATTGATTTGGTTGCTTTAACAGAGATAAGATAGAAGACTCTTTCATGTGAAAGTTCAGTCTTGCAGGATGTGGTGGCACACACCTATAGCACCAGCTATTCCTATATAGGAGGCTGAAGCAGAATTACTTGAGCCCAGGAGTTTAAATCTAGCAACATAGCCAGACTTTGTCTCTAAAAAAATAAAAATAGAAGGCCAAGCAGGTCAGCAGGAGTGGTGGTGACGGTGGTAAGGCTTTGATCCTTGAGATTGTCTTTGAATCCAGTTCCTTCTAATCCAGTGGTTCTCAACTTTCCTAATGCCTCTACCCTTTAATACAGTTCCTCATGTTGTGGCAACAAAAATATTTTTATGGGCTCGGCGCCTATAGCTCAACCGGCTAAGGCGCCAGCCACGTACACCTAAGGTGGCGGGTTCGAATCCCCAGCCCGGACCCGCCAAACAACAATGACGGCTGCAACCAAAAAATAGCCGGGCGTTGTGGCGGGCACCTGTGGTCCCAGCTACTTGGGAGGCGGAGGCAGGAGACTCGCTTAAGCCCAGGAGTTGGAGGTTGCTGTGAGCTGTAATGCCACGGCACGCTACCCAGGGGGAGAGCTTGAGGCTCTGTCTCAAAAAAAAAAAAAATATTTTTATGATTGTGGGTGGCATAACTTCAGCATAACATGAGGAACTGTATTAAAGTGTCATGGCATTAGGAAGGTTGAGAACCACTGTCAATTTAAGATGGATTGCAACCCCTATGTCTGCCTTTTAGCAAGTTAGGAGGGAAGTATCCCTTACTTTTGAAAGGGCGACTCTGACCTTACAACTTTCCCTTCCTCTCACATCCCGCTGGCCAGAACTTAGCCACATGTCTGCATTTAGCTACAAGAAAAACTGCAAAATGTTACCTTTATTGGACAATGTTGAGCCCGGTAAAACTCATGAGTTATACTATGAGAAAGGAGGATGTGAGATTGGTTGTTGGGAGACAACTATGATTTTTTGCCACAAATTTTAGCAGTTTTTTTCTTGGTATCTTCTCTGTTCACTTGGCATTGGTTGGGGCAACAGAGGGGCAAGGATTTGTCAGGAGGAGGGGAGGAAGACAGTTGGGTTGGGCTTTTTTCCTTAGGGGCAGTTGAGGGCTAGATGCATTTTTGTTTCACTCAAAGCCTGGCCTGTTTGTTTTGGGGAGTGAGATGACAGTACCAGGACTTTAGGGGGATGAATATATGTGTAGTGAGTCTGGGGGCTTAGTCTTTCCAGGAAGGAAAGGACAGGTGAAAGCCGAAGGCTGATATTCACTGTACCCTACGGAAGTATTAGTGATATTACCAAGGGCTAGACAGCTCTCCAGTGAACAAAAAAACGCCCATGACACTTTCAGACTGTTTCTCACATTTGACATTTGGTCAACCCAAATAAGAGTGTACTTCAGATTGAGGACAAAGGACACACTGCCCCAGAATGAAAACAAGTGACAGCCATTGCCAATCTATTGTGGGCTAATGCTCTGTAACCAGAAGTTTGGAAAGCAGATGCAGTGTAATGGAGACCTGGATTGTCATCTGTCTGCAGGACCAGGACCACTGGGGTGATGGCATGATGGAGGTGGTCAGCTCACAGCACACTGGCTCCCACCAAGCCAGGGCAGCACTCACTGTTGTGGAGTCAGTGAGTGCTGCTATACTGTTTAGTTCCCCAGGGAAGCTGCCCACCACCAAAGGGGACTTGCTTGCCAGGCACATGGGAGGAAGGAATTGTCTACGAGACAGGCCTGATAACTAGGAGAGAATCTAGGTTGAGCTGGAGGACCTGATTGCACAATAGTGCTGGGTGGGCAGGGATCTCGGCTGCTGATTGGGGCTGGAAATGTGGGTGCGGAGACAGGCATCTAGGGAGTACATACCCAGAAAGGGTATCTTGTCATGATGTAGGTGGTGTAGTGGTGAGAGGTATTGCAGCAGGGACAGATCAGACTGCCCTTTGAGGAGGGTCCTGAGCCACATGCTGGGAGAGGGGAAGTTGAGGTCCCTTAGAAGGCTGCCAGTAAGTTTGCACGAGGAAAGCCGAGGGCTCAACCAGGGATCCAGCAGAGAGGAGGAAAAGGGAAGGCTGGATTCAGATGTAGGAAGCCTAAGGACTGTGGGTGGATGAAGAGGAAAGGTGCTCGGGCAGACGGTGGGAGCAGATGGTATTGACCTAGGTGAAGCACTCAAGACTGGGGCAAGTTCACGCATGTGTGTGTGTGTGAGAGAGTGCCTTCGTGGGGGTCGCGGGCAGTACTGAGAGGTGCGGACCTGGATTTGGGTCACGTGTGCTTCTACTCGTGGGACGTCTAGATTGGCACAAATCACTTCCTGCCTCTGGATCCCTCACTGGTGCCTTTCCCCAGCTAGGGCGGTACCCTGCAAGCCACTGGGCGTGGACAGAGTCCTGCGGCCCCGTCCGGCCGGCGCGTGGAGCGTCCCAGCGGGTTGGACGGCCGGGCCCTCCGGGGTGTGGCCGCCCCGCGCCCCGCCCCGGGCCCCTCCTCCGCCGGCGCGCCCGGGGCGGGTGGTCGCCCCAGTTCGCTTCCGCCGCACAGCTCAGAGCCAACGCCGCCCGGCCTCGCCACCCTCCAGGTAAGGTGGCAGTGGGCATTCTCTTTTGGCGGCCCCCGGCCCCCTCTCCCTCGTGTGCTGCGTCTCAGGCGTCCCCCCGCCTCTCTTCTGCCCCGGCGCCGGGTCTGAGCTGGGCCTCTGCAGCGTCGGCTCAGTGGACCTCGGGGCGCTGCGGAAGGGGCGCCGGCCCTGGGCCGGGCGGAAGGTCCGGGAAGCCACGTGTCCCCACAGCCGCGCGTGGTGGGGGAGGCGGGCTGGGTGGGCGCCCACGTGGCCTCGCTAGCCAGGGACCCGGGCCCTGATCACTGTTGTCGCCCTGCAGCACCATGGCCAACCTCGAGCGCACCTTCATTGCCATCAAGCCGGACGGCGTGCAACGTGGCCTGGTGGGCGAGATCATCAAGCGCTTCGAACAGAAGGGATTCCATCTCGTGGCCATGAAGTTCCTTCGGGTAACGCGACCCCCGCCTCCCCGCCTCCCGCAACAGCCGGGTCGTGTGGTTTCCCCAACCCGGCAGCGGTTTATCCGCGGCTACTTTCCGAGTCAGAGCCCTCCTTGGCCACTTCCACACCCGCAGGACCCCTCGCCTTCTGCCCCTCTGACCCCTTCCTGAGGCTTGGGAGGACTCTGCCCTTGGGAAGGTTAAAGGGAGGTAACGTGACTCCTGCTCCCGGCTGGCTTACTTCCCGCGGGCGCACCCAGTCGTGGGCCGCCACCCTGCCTGCCCGCCGCCTGGGGCAGCAGACCCCAGTCCCCTGGCCATGCGGATGTACATTTACACAGAATGAGGCTTGGAATCTTTTGTGCTGGTAGCCTGAAACTTCAAGTTGTTTGGGGTTTTAGGTGACGTGTCCTTTCCTTTGGGCATACGGTAATAACTACTAGAGTAAATTTGGGGAGCAGATCTGATCCCTATACTTAAAGGATAAGTGTCTGAAATTCAACCCAGCTCATCAGTGAAGAGAATCTTCTCAATTATCATCTGAAATATTTAAAAGGGGATGTGAGTAGGCCTGAGGAGTTTAATATGACTTCTACCTGCCATATTGCTGGGAGTTTTTCATTCATTTGTAGGCATTATTTAATTCCTTAAATCTAGATTCTCAAACTCCTTAGAATTACAAAATCTGTAGTTATGAGGGCTTATTTCTGATCTAAACAGTCTTTCTGCCAAAATGGTATCAATTTTATAGTTTAGATGGGATTTTTTTTTTTTTTTTTTGAAGACATTGTCTCTTTGTTACCCCTGGTACTCTTGGGCTCAAGCAGTACCAGGGGGTACTCTCTTGCCTCAGCCTCCCTCATAGCTGGGACTACAGGTGCCCTCCACAGCGCCCGCTATTTTTAGAGATGGAGTCTTGCTCTTGTTCAGGCTGGTCTCAAAACC